GTAGTAAGACATGTATGACTGTGGTATAGAAGTAGTAAGATATATGAAACTGTGGTACACCTTGGAAGTAGTAAGACATGTATGACTGTGGTATACATTAGAAGGAGTAAGACATGTATGACTGTGGTATACCTTAGAAGTAGTAAGACATGTATGACTGTGGTATACCTTAGAAGGAGTAAGACATGTATGACTGTGGTATTACCTTAGAAGGAGTAAGACATGTATGACTGTGGTATACCTTAGAAGGAGTAAGACATGTATGACTGTGGTATACCTTAGAGTGAGTGAGTTGAGTTTTACGCCGCACTCAGCAATATTCCAGCTATATGGCGGCGGTATACCTTAGAAGGAATAAGACATGTATATCTGTGGTATACCTTAGAAGGAGTAAGACATGTATGACTGTGGTATACCTTAGGAGGAGTAAAACATGTATGACTGTGGTATACCTTGGAAGTAGTAAGACATGTATGACTGTGGTATACCTTAGAAGTAGTAAGACATGTATGACTGTGGTATACCTTACAAGGAGTAAGACATGTATGACTGTGGTATACCTTGGAAGTAGTAAGACATGTATGACTGTGGTATACATTAGAAGGAGTAAGACATGTATGACTGTGGTATACCTTAGAAGTAGTAAGACATGTATGACTGTGGTATACCTTGGAAGTAATAAGACATGTATGACTGTGGTATAGAAGTAGTAAGATATATGAAACTGTGGTACACCTTGGAAGTAGTAAGACATGTATGACTGTGGTATACATTAGAAGGAGTAAGACATGTATGACTGTGGTATAGAAGTAGTAAGATATATGAAACTGTGGTACACCTTGGAAGTAGTAAAACATGTATGACTGTGGTATACCTTAGAAGGAGTAAGACATGTATGACTGTGGTATACCTTTGAAGGAGTAAGACATGTATGACTGTGGTATACCTTAGAAGGAGTAAGACATGTATGACTGTGGTATACCTTAGAAGGAGTAAGACATGTATGACTGTGGTATACCTTGGAAGGAGTAAGACATATGTAACTGTGGTATACCTTACAAGGAGTAAGACATGTAACTGTGGTATACCTTACAAGGAGTAAGACATGTATGACTGTGGTGTACCTTGAAGGAGTAAGACATATATGACTGTGGTATACCTTAGAAGGAGTAAGACATGTATGACTGTGGTATACCTTGGAGAGTGAGTGAGTATGAGTTTGTGCCGCACTGGAAGCAATATTCCATATAATGGTGGTATACCTTGGAAGGAATAAGACATGTATAACTGTGGTATACCTTAGAAGGAGTAAGACATGTATGACTGTGGTATACCTTGGGAGGAGTAAGACATATATATGACTGTGGTACACCTTGGAAGTAGTAAGACATGTGTAACTGTGGTATACCTTAGAAGTAGTAAGACATGTATGACTGTGGTATACCTTATAAGGAGTAAGACATGTATGACTGTGGTATACCTTGGAAGTAGTAAGACATGTATGACTGTGGTATACATTAGAAGGAGTAAGACATGTATGACTGTGGTATACCTTAGAAGTAGTAAGACATGTATGACTGTGGTATACCTTGGAAGTAGTAAGACATGTATGACTGTGGTATAGAAGTAGTAAGATATATGAAACTGTGGTACACCTTGGAAGTAGTAAGACATGTATGACTGTGGTATACATTAGAAGGAGTAAGACATGTATGACTGTGGTATAGGAGTAGTAAGATATATGTAACTGTGGTGAACCTTGGAAGTAGTAAGACATATGTAACTGTGGTGAACCTTGGAAGTAGTAAGACGTATGTAACTTTGGTGTACCTTGGAAGAGAAAGACATGTATGACTGTGGTATACCTTAGAAGGAGTAAGGCATACATGACTGTGGTATACCTTAGAAGTAGTAAGATATATGCAACTGTGGTGAACCTTGGAAGTAGTAAGACGTATGTAACTTTGGTGTACCTTGGAAGAGAAAGACATGTATGACTGTGGTATACCTTAGAAGTAGTAAGACATGTATGACTGTGGTATACCTTGGAAGTAGTAAGACATGTATGACTGTGGTATAGAAGTAGTAAGATATATGAAACTGTGGTACACCTTGGAAGTAGTAAGACATGTATGACTGTGGTATACATTAGAAGGAGTAAGACATGTATGACTGTGGTATAGAAGTAGTAAGATATATGTAACTGTGGTGAACCTTGGAAGTAGTAAGACATATGTAACTGTGGTGAACCTTTGAAGTAGTAAGACGTATGTAACTTTGGTGTACCTTGGAAGAGAAAGACATGTATGACTGTGGTATACCTTAGAAGGAGTAAGGCATACATGACTGTGGTATACCTTAGAAGTAGTAAGATATATGTAACTGTGGTGAACCTTGGAAGTAGTAAGACGTATGTAACTTTGGTGTACCTTGGAAGAGAAAGACATGTATGACTGTGGTATACCTTAGAAGGAGTAAGGCATACATGACTGTGGTATACCTTAGAAGTAGTAAGACATATGTAACTGTGGTGAACCTTGGAAGCAGTAAGACGTATGTAACTTTGGTGTACCTTGGAAGAGAAAGACATGTATGACTGTGGTATACCTTAGAAGTAGTAAGACATATGTAACTGTGGTGAACCTTGGAAGTAGTAAGACGTATGTAACTTTGGTGTACCTTGGAAGAGAAAGACATGTATGACTGTGGTATACCTTAGAAGTAGTAAGACATATGTAACTGTGGTGAACCTTGGAAGTAGTAAGACATATGTAACTGTGGTGAACCTTGGAAGTAGTAAGATATATGTAACTGTGGTGTACCTTGGAAGTAGTAAGATATATGTAACTGTGGTGAACCTTGGAAGTAGTAAGATATATGTAACTGTGATGTTCCTTGGAAGTAGTAAGATATATGTAACTGTGGTGAACCTTGGAAGTAGTAAGATATATGTAACTGTGATGTACCTTGGAAGTAGTAAGATATATGTAACTGTGATGTTACCTTGGAAGTAGTAAGATATATGTAACTGTGATGTTCCTTGGAAGTAGTAAGATATATGTAACTGTGGTGTACCTTGGAAGGAGAAAGATATATAACTGTGATGTGCCTTGGAAGTAGTAAGATATATGTAACTGTGGTGTACCTTGGAAGTAGTAAGATATATGTAACTGTGGTGTACCTTGGAAGGAGTAAGACATATAATGTATGTTCCTTGAAGTAGTAACCTGTGTAACTGTGGAGTACCTTGGAAGGAGAAAGACATATATAGGTGTGGTGTACCTTGGATTGACAAAGACATGTATAAGTATGATGTGCCTTGGAAGTAGAAAGACACATGTAACTGTGATGTACCTTGGAAGGAGTAAGACATATATAACTGTGTTGTACCTTTGAAGGAGAAAGACACATGTAACTGTGGTGTAACTTGAAAGGAGAAAGACACATGTAACTGTGATGTACCTTGGAAGGAGTAAGACATATATAACTGTGTTGTACCTTGAAAGGAGTAAGACATATATAACTGTGTTGTACCTTGAAAGGAGAAAGACATATATAACTGTGTTGTACCTTGAAAGGAGAAAGACATATATAACTGTGTTGTCCCTTGAAAGGAGAAAGACATGTATATGTATGATGTGCCCTGGAAGGAGAAAGGCATATATAACCGTGGTGTGTCTTGGAAGGAACCAGACATATATAACTGTGGTGTACCTTGAAAGGAGAAAGACACATGTAACTGTGATATGCCTTGGACTGAGGAGAACGCCGCTTGTAAATATTGCAACATCACGGCGGGGAACCAGAAAGCTTCACATATATACCCATGTGGTGAACCTTGAAAGTGAGAGCCAACGCTTTAACCACTAGGCTGCAACTGAGGTGTGCCTTGGAAGGGGCCAAACATATATAACTGCATGTACCTTGGAAGTAGTAAAATATATATGCCTGCGGTGTACGTTGGAAAGAAGGAAACTACATGTGACTAAAAGTGTTGTTTTACATGGATGTAGCCAGACATATATATCAGCAAAACCCAACTGATAACCTGGTTGACGCAGCTATTCGCCCACTCACTCACTCACCAACTCAATCCTGACTCTCTCGGTTCAATAAGGTTGGCATCGTTCACCAGAGTGCCATCAGGTCAACACACGCTGCGTATTTGGTCGAACAGCTGACGTTAATGACAGTAATATGCTGTGTCTATCGCATCCCTGTTTGATAATGGCTTCTACCTGACTGTGCATTTGCTCAGCTGGAACTGGGCTCACGGCGAACACGATCACACGACACACAGATTGGGAACCATGTACATCTTCATCCAGGGCGCCAGCAGCTGCTAGTAAGGTCAAGGTCATAGGCCTATCCTAAATACGTTATGACGCCTCTGTGGACGTTGTACGCGGTTCCTTATCAGTGTGTGGTGTGGTAGCATAGTAACCTGATTGGTCAATATTGGGTGGAGCTCCTAGCACAAGTAGCAACATTGACATCCAATGTTCAAAAAGCATGGACTGGTTGTATGATTACATACAAATTGTATCTTATGCTTGTAGACGTTGATTATCCAGGTTCTTGGGCGGAGGTCACAGCAAAAGAATCACATTCGACATTCGTTATTGCCATTGCCGCTTTGTAACATTTTATGAAATTGTTTTTTGCCTGTAACACATTGATTGTCTAGCGTTTTTGATTGGACCAAAAGTATCAACATCCAGTGTTCGTTAAAATTTGGAACGCTTTCAATGAGTATATTAAATTGTTTCTAAACCTGTAACACGTTGTCCAGGTTCATATACGGTCGGAAACATATATACTGGACAAATAAGTTAGGGAAATTGGTAAAAAAATTATTTATATTTTATCAGTGTGTCAATGAATAAATAGATCACTATTCATAATTTCAAAATTTGCATATATCCATTACTATATTTGTCCAGTATATATTATTGTGTTAAACTGTGGTCAGCAAGGCTGCAAAGTCCATTTATTCTTACCTGAGGTGTTCCATAACACCTGGCTTCTTGCTGTTTGTAAGCAAATTCCGAAGTGCCGTAAACACAAAGCCATTCTGAAACAAAAGAAGGCCATTTACTACATTGCAAACACACATGATGGCATCATATCAGAAGTTGTTACAAAGAAAATATTTTAAAACAAGTTAACCATCTTGTTGATCGGGTCCAGCTTAATGTAATAGGCTAGTTTGACAGGTTGCATATACCCCATAATTATGTATGCATGGGAAACAAAACGACAGTGCAAAAGAACACCTAGTCTTGACTAGCCTCAGAAACATTCAATTTAGTTTACATGGCACGACGGCTCTGAAAGGAAAACTGGAAATTAGTGACAGTGACGATACCAGGTGTTCATGAAACAGGCAAGCATGTCCTGCCCCTCATGTAGGAACCGACAACCAAACGATTTGCCTATCTAAATAAGTATTTATGTGCATTTGGAAAATTATCTTTTAAAAAGATACGTTTTGGCCTCCTCCTATTATAATGACCTGATGTCCTGCATACAGTTATGTCCGCACATATGGTTTAACAATTACAATGAAACTGATTCGATTGTCAGAGGCTTTAAAATCAATATTGTTGTGCATGTACATGCCTATTAATGATGTCATAAAGTGGTTCAAGCTTCAATATCACGAATTGTATGCATCCGCTTTTGGTTATATGATTGTCCACAATATAATTTATAAACAGGAATAGGATCCAACAGTACCTTGAAAGAAATGTACCCATTCTCGCTGAATACACAAATAATAATACCTTAAAATTCCCTTCGTGAACAAACCTAATGGACTAATCGATAAGAAATAAGGAAGTGAGTTTTTATCGCAAAGGAACAGTCCAAAACACAAATACGTACATACACTGAATAAAATCAATGTCAATCCCATCTTTTTCCCAAGAGCAATTGGCCTTGAGTAAAACGCATTACGGGCTCGGTCCATTATTAATTTAATTGACTTTAACCTGAGTGTACTGACAGGTTCCACAGAAGGTTTGCATGAGCCTTGGAAATGATATTGGCGTTCGCTTAGCCTGCTGAGGAGATAACAGTATTTAGGATTTGTATAATTCCAGTGTTTGCCTGTCCATGTCTGTAAATATCGTCATCACTGCTGATAATGCCTTCGTATTATACTGATTTGGGGTTAATGGAGAACATTTGGTCTGATGGGATCTGAATATACAACTTAAGACTGGAACTCTACTCAATTAAGGATTTGAAGTTTCGATTGCTCTCAATTAGTAGTTATTCTTATTCCAATAATGAGTACTACATGCCTGTGAAGACCGTCAAGAGAAACATAACCAATAGGTAATCTACGGTAAATTGAAACGTCAAGATATAACTTTGAGACTATCAGTAATTACCGAATTTTGGAAGTAGACATGAATGGCATTTAAGATAATAGGGTATTGTTGTTAATATGATTGGAAACATGGGCATTCATTAAGCAGCGTGGATCCGGCAATAACATAGGGTATATGTTTCACTAATGCTTAGTCTCTGAATATGTATAATTTTGATGGAAACAAATGATTTCTTTTAAATTGAAACGGAGCCCCAGTGAGATGGGCTGAAGAAATCTGGACCTGCTTTGTTTATAATTATAAAATTGCAGAAAGGTCTGGGAGGAAGGGAAAGTAATATTTCTCTTGGACAGTGAGAGAGTGAGTTTAGTTTTGCGCCACGTTTAGCACTATAAGAGGAATATTACGGCGGGTGACACTAGAAATAGAGTCCACACATTGTACAAACGTGGGGAATCGAACCTGGGTCTTCGGCGTAACGGGCGAACGTTTTAACCTCTGGGCTGCCCCACCGCCCCTTCAGGGACTGACTGACTGACTGACTGACTGACTGAGTTTGGTTTTACGCCGCTTTTAGCAATATTCCAGCAACATCACGGCGGGGAACACCAGAAATGGGCTTCACACATTGTACCCATGTTGGGATTCGAACCCGGGTCTTCGGCGTGACGAGCGAACGCTTTAACCACTAGGCTACCCCACCGCCCCTTCAGGGACAGTGAGAGAGACTAGTAACATGTGATCATGATCAGTATTTCTGGGAAATGGTCTCCCGGTAACGAAGCAGAGACTACCTCCTGGCGGTAGAACATTTGGATATATGAATCTTCGATAAAGGAAAATACCACGAGGCACGGGAATCTGACTATATTGCACTGAATGTAGAGATTCGTTAGGAGCAACGCAGCATCTGCCAGTGTTATCACAACTACTTACATCAAGCAGTACACCTACAACAGCAACATAACACCGTAGTAGAAGTCGTTACGTTCGTGGCAGGAACACGTTGTAAATAACGTTCATGGTCTCTCACATTTATTCTGGATTGTGTATGTCAGTTGGTTGAAGATAATGCAGAGTGAATATGAAAGTGCTACAGAGTACATCCGAACACTGTGTGATGTGTGTGTTCTGTCTGTAATTGACTTCAAGAAAATCATTATCAAAAAGATAAACAATACACCGAAAAAATGAGAGGAAGAAGGATTTCAATCAGTTCGCTCTGCGACGTTTGTTTTTATAGAAAGCAGTTCTCAAACACCAGGTGCACTTCGAAAATGTTTACAGAAATACAGATTAGTAAATAAGTAAATAAAAATATAACATCTAACATTTCTTCCTTTGAAGTATTCTACTTTTGATTTGTGATTTGTAAGGTGTAAATTGAACCACACTTCCCCATCCCGTCCGACGTCTATAAGTAAGTCGGTTAGGTAATTGTGGCTAAACAAGTACATACAGAGAGAGAGAGTAAACTATGGTTATACCGAACTCAAAGGGACCGCTAATTTTAGTTCGTTACAACCGTAGTTCACTAAACGTGTTTCGACTAAAATTATACAAGTGGATGGGAGAAAAAATACCGGTTCGTTATTTCCGTCAGTTCGTTATAAAGCATGTTCGTCATAAACGTAGTTAACAATATACTGTTTCCCTTTGGTGAACTGGGGCGTGGGGTAGCCTAGTGGTTAAAGCGTCCGCTCATCACGCCGAAGACCCGGGTTCGATTGCCTCACATGGGTACAATGTGTGAAGCCCATTTATGGTGTCCCCAAACCATGATATTGCTGGAATATTGCTAAAAGCGACGTAAAACCATACTCACTCACTTTAAACAGTGAATTAGTTTCATATAATGTTATCATGTAGCGATTAAGTATATTTTCATCGCTTTAAGCATTCTAGGTTTTATCAAAATATTATTCTTATTTCTACGATTTCTTTATTTTAGAACATACATTCATTCGTCATACCACCATACCATGGAATTTGCTGAGTCAGTCTCACAGTCATGAACGTCATAATAAATATAGCATTTCAGCCGAGACAATGACAATAAAGCGTGACATTTTAGTTTGGTAGGGAGAATGGTGTATTGTGTTACAATAATCTACGCTTCAGCTATGTCGGACGTGAACATGTCTGTGCCCAGCCACTCATGAAACCATCAAGCAACTCGGCTCTATGTACAATGTGTAAAACGTGTATTGTTATCAACAGTGAGACGTGGACGAGTTCAAACTGTTATTAACAACTTGGCCGGGCCGAGGGCACAAAAGTGTTAATCTTTATTAGCCACCAATACAAACCTTTATCTCGGTATGTCATTCGACTGATCCAATAAAGAGTCGTGTTCGTTTCCTCCTCAACCTCCCGTCACATCGGTCAATTACTGGAGTTGTTCTTGACAAGATGAATAGACGGTTTATCTTTTTACAGCATGGTTTTCATGCAGGTTTCCAATTGAACCAAAGCTCCTCGATCGCAGCAATAGCTGTGATCCATTGGTTTAATGGTAATCCTTAAAGCACCTTTATCAATGCTTTGAAAATAGGTAGTTTACGTCCTACGAACACATGCTCCGTTAACTTAATGCAAATCCTCATTGAACATATATCAATTGTTTGGCTCAAATGCAATTTGTACCAAATGCGCATATGCACACACCAATAGTTTAACGCTGATCCTCAATCTGCGTATATCATTTTTTAGGAAAAAAGCGCAGTCTGCATCCGATGTATGCGTGCACTTGTTTGTTCTGTTCAAAGTGAATGATGAATTTACAACTCAGCGTTAGCTTCCAATGTAACATGCAATAAATTCCCACTTACCCTAATGGGCTGGTGACCTGTGTTCGAGTGCAATGGAGATTGAAAACTCCAGCTACATTTAAAAAAAAGATTGATCTGTAATTTTAAATAAGATGAATTGCAGATACTTTTCTAAGAAGTTGAGCTAGGTATTTCAGGAGATCGCAGGTTTAAACGACTTAGGGCAGTATCAGGTCTCCTTTCACTTGCTTTTGAAATGTCTTCATCAACAAGCTGAAGGAAACAAGTGTGAATGATTTACTTGTTGGTATTAAAAATATAACACCATGCTTGTCAACCGCAGACAGAAGAACGACTGAACCAGGTGACGAAGAGAAGATTAAAGGTTTTGTTAAGGAGGACAACGTCAATTTCATAGTCTGTTTCACAATCCGGCCGTTCTGTTCCTTCAAAGGAAATGCAACCTTTGTTATACGCAGATTATTGATGATGGAATCGCGAATTGCAAAACTGTTCTGTTACTAGGTACAACGATAAATAACATTATTTTGTCGTCATACAATTATAGCTGTTGTTGTTTCATCAAGGTTAAAACATTCAATGTCTGTGTAGCGCTTTCAAAATGTTGCATAGACACGTGGAAGACATTTTTTTCTATTTGGAGCATAAGTTACAACATAATTTAATGTCCGATGCAATTTAGCATTTAGTGAGTGAGTTGAGTTTTGCGCTGCACTCAGCAATATTCCAGCTTTAAGGCGGCGGTCTGTAAATAATCGAATCTGGACCAGACAATCCAGTGATCAACATCATGAGCATCGGTCTACGCAATTGGGATACGATGACATGAGTCAACCAAGTCAGCGAGCCTGACCACCCGATCCCATTAGACGCCTCTTATATTACGACAAGCAAGGGTGACTGAAGATCAATTCTAACCTGGATCTTCACGGGTCCAGCATTTA